TGCATGTTTACGTCTGTGTCAGCTTTAATGACTGCAGGCCTTAGGGCTGTATCGGGAGAGTGTGACATCTACACCCCTGCTGCCCTCCTACCATCTCTCCTCACATCCTTTGTGCTTCTGTTTATTGTACATTTTACAGCTTAGGCAGCGCTGCTCTGCGATTGTTCACTTTTAACCACAGGCAGAAAGTTCACGTTAAAGGACAGACGGATAAAAGTAGCAGCCGACCCTGATCTGTCTTATCTCATCACACCCTCATCACCCACCTCCACCCTCTACAACTCTAACCTCAGGCAGCAGTGATCCAGCTTCCTGCCGGGAAGTTGGAGATTGTCTCCTCAAGAAAAGAAATGCAGAGATTCTGACACCTTTCTCCAAACAAATATTAAGTATTGGACTCAAGCACAAACATCAGGAGAGCACACTGAAAAGCTCATCCTCTCTGTTTTAGCTAGACAGCCTCATTCCTTCTACAGGCAAAACCCCATAATGAGTCTGCTTGACCTGGTTAGAAAAAGCTTGTTTAACACCTTATTGATCAGCTTCACTTCCTGTGCTCCTTTGCCCACAAACATCAGTCAAGTTTCCATTTCCTCCATTGCCTCCCACTCTGTGCTTAGCTGAGGATCATTTGTGTTTCATGCATAGATCATGTGCATGGAGAGAAAAAAATATATGTAAGATCTGTTTTCTTGTCTAGCTGTGGCTAAGGACTGTGAAACACTTGTGAATGCAGATTTTGTTATACCTCAATAAGCAAAAAACATTCTTTGAAATCCCACCATAACCACAGAGGTCAAAGAAGAAAGAAAATGTCTTGTATTACAGTTGCAAATGTGACACAACATCACGTACCATTGTTATCACACAAAATGGTCTGGTTTTGGTGTCAGAAAAGAGGAATTAACTAATAATATTTATATATTTTCTATAATTAGAATTCAGTTTATTGATAAGAGACGAACTTTGAGCTCAGCTAAAGGTTTAGAGATATTACACTACTGACCAGAAGAGGTTTGCATTATTTTTACTTCCACGATGTAAAAATATACTTTGAGCTAAGCAGTTAATGCAAATATCTTAGTGATAATCCATGCATTGGATTTGCTTTGCTAAGGGTACAACAGTTAGACTGTGCAAACCCAGTTAATCTAAAAAAACAAAACTCCACTATTTAACCCTGATTGCAACCATGTGGGTGCCCTCTTTTTGCAACTTGTCAATAATCTACACCTGAGAGAATCAGAGGATCCTGAAAACAACAAACACAAAAATAAAAAATCTAAGCTCAGAAAATAAGGAGGGAATTTGCAGAAGTGGAAATTTGGTTACAACATTTTAGGCTTTTCTGTGCAAAAAAAGCATGCATTTAAAATGACATTTTTAATAGATTCAGTAGACATTTTGCTGAATATATAAACACTGTGAATATATTAACAGGTTATATGTCGTGATTATGAAAAGACACAATGAAAATATCAACTTCTTTTAACAAAAAAAAAAAGCATTGAGAAGCACAAAACTAACTCTGCAGGATTTTCTTGTTTTTTTGTGGAACGGGGTTAAAGTCAATTTGCAGGGAGGACGGATTTCTTCTAAAGCTGTGAGCAGAAGAGACATGCGACCTAAGCCCACTGTTTAAAGTACAGACGGAGTTAAGCCAGCCCGACTCCAGGCTCTCTTTCAAGAGAAGCGACTAAATCTCCTCTATTTCTGTCAACATTAACTTCCTCCATTTTGAATTATTTGCAAAATAAAGGAGATTTTGGATGCTTGTTTTTTCTTTCATTTTTTTTCCCTCTTAATTTCAAGAACTTCTAAAGTGTAAAAAAAAAAAAAAAAAACAGTCATGTGCATTTCCTTCTTTGTTTTAGGGAGATCTTGGTCACACTGTTCTGACTAAATACTGCTTGCAAAAATCTAAAATGCCAAAATTACGTATCCCGTTTTTGGTATGACTATCAGGGCTGATGTCCCAGATTCTCCAACTCTGCAGCACTGTTCTTTTATATGTAGAAGAAAAAAGTGAAGGGCAGATATTTCATCAACTCCACACTCTCTGTGTGTATTTTGTGTTTATAGTTGAAACAGGTTAGTGTTTTCCTGTCTGAACGGATTAGCAGACACACACAAATATCAGTGATTCATAGGTACAACTAAAAAACAAACAGCAGACAGGCAGTGTGGTCTAGTGGAGCCAGAGGGATTTATTTTTAATTCATTATTAGCACACTTTTATCTGTGCTTTATGGCTTTATATGTTGCAGATCAGATGGTAAACAAGGGATGGAAAGTCCCAACCTCACTCAACTCAGAGCATGAGAACCATTCGAACGTGTTGTTAATGACTTCCCTAGTGTAATCCTGGGTCTGAAGGAGAAGCGCCTCAGACCACTTAGCCTTTTTGGGGTCTTTTTCCCTTTGAAGACAGATCTGCAGACATGAGATTCTTAAATGTCAAACAGGTATATCCTCGGTATTGAACCTGTCTTTTGTCACGTATCTGCAAAGTTCAAGCACAGTTTAGGAGACCACATCAGAACTCAAAAATCAAAGTACGTGACAGTTTTTGTTTTGTTTTTTCCTATTGTGAATGCACAGTGTATATCCATATGAAAGCCTTTGCATAAGTAAAGAAAAAATATATATATCGTCATGCTCTTTTTTACTTTTGTTGACTTGATATTTAACGTCTATGTCAGCAGATGTGTGTCAGCATTTATCTTAAAAAAATCTGCTTACCAGAACACATCAAGCTGGTTATTCATTACAGTTTCCTGTGTAATTTGTACAGAAACCAAAATGCAGTTCAGGACAAGACTTAATTAGAATAGCAGTTTCCGCTCTCACCTTTATACTCTTACTAACTACTCCGCTTTACTACAGAAACACTCTACTAAAATGCAACATCAGCGTCATCTCAGCAGGCAAGCCTCATAAACAGCTGGACTATCCCATAGTGTAAAATGGGCTCTGCTAGCATGTGAAGAAACACTCGTCAGGGATGAAGGGGTGGGTACAGGAGGTTGCTAATAACAGCTGCCAGATGTGCCGAGTCCCCCGAGTCGCGTCCACATTCTCACAGACAATGGAATGCTTGTGAGGAGCCCCAACAGGAAGTGAGGTCAGGCCTCTTGACCCCTCCCCTGAAGGCCCAGTGAGGGATGTAGCAGTGGGGCAGCTTTTAGCAAAGCAAGCCCCTGAAAATGTGCCACAGTAAACCCACAGACATTGAGCCAGGCACTACATAAAGGCTCTCTGCAGCATAGCAGTGAGCTTAGTTAACCTCTTTCTTTTTGTTTTGTTTTATTAACTTAAAAATAGTGACTTAAAAAAAATCTGTGGCTGGGCTTTAAAAACTATAGTAAGAAGAAATTTCACAATGTTTTTTTCCATAAAGGAAATATCACAAGTTTGATCAGTGCAGACATGCTGCAATGCATCAGGAAACTATAGAAACCTTATGTTCCTCCATAAAACTTAATCTTCAGGTGAGGTGTGGGTTTGGATAGGAACGTGTAAATTCCCGTCAAATTTATTCTGACATCATTTAGCCTATGAGTCAGAGATGGAAGTAAGATGGGTAAATCTACAGAGTTTTGAAGAAGTGCCATCTGCTTCCTGTACCCAGTCTGTGGTCAATTTCCAAAGTAAATGAAAGCTGCCTGGTGTCACGCAAACCTATCATTTTCCATTTTCAGTTTTCATTGTATGGAAATACTTCAGAATTTTGACAAGGAAAACTGTTTATGCATTGTGGATTCGTAAAACTTCACAAATCTTCAAAAAAAAAAAAAAACTGTATTTTTTTTACACAGAAGCCAGGCACAGATGTTTTGCAAGTTCAGTAATGCATGACAACATTAAGAAGCTCCTTCTTTTCATAGACGCATGACATCACTGCCACAAGGGATGACTTTTAGGTTAATGACTGAAGACATTATTACCTCCTCAGAGGAGGCTGGATAGAGGCTCTTTCTCTGTAGACAGCACCTGCAGCCTCAGACATGACCCTGATGACTAACATGCACTCACCTCCTCTCCATTACACCTGAAATGGATCAGATTTCCAATGCAAATTGGATCTCAAAATAAATGTAAACTGATTTCATAACATACAATAAAATTCATATAATTTCCATGACGTTTTGGAGGAAACATATCCATCTGTAGTTGAAATGAATAATCCTTATGCTGTGTTTGTTGTGATCTCTCATATAAATATAGAATATCAGAAATACTAATACTAATTAGCAACCTCCTAAACTCAATAAAAATGGCTTACATTAAAAAGCATTCATAACTATAGCTTAAGAGAGAGAATTTCAACCATTAATTATCAGTTTATAAATAATTACCTCATACAATAAACTGTAAACCCCCTTTTGTAAACATACTGCTGCTGTTTTTGAAAGCAGTTATACTGAGTGGGTTGCTATGTCAATAAACAAGAAACTAAGTGAACAGGGTTCTGAGGTGGAACATGGTGACTGGATCATGCCAAGTTAGGTTTGATGTCATTCCCAAAAAGTTCTAGTTTCAGAGGTATCTGAAACCGACAGGTGGTTTCACTGTAGGTTTTCAAACTTTTTTCCACAGCGCTTCTCTTTAGGGAGGTTTCCACACAAAAATGTAAATTTGTTTCAGTTTTTTATTTTTCTGGAAACCCCCAATTTTCCATAAAAGCCTTTTCTGATGTAACCATACAGCAAAATCAAACTCATATCAATGTATTTATTTAAAAAATGTCAATTTTGGTTCAAGTTCTAATGAAATAAAAGCAAATACTTTTATAATCCCAGCTGATGGAAAGTAACAGATATTTGAACAACCCACTTGGCACAGGTTGTTCCTGTTAAAGCACCACCAGTCTTGCTCCAGTTTGAGAGCCTTAATGCTTGGAACAAAAAGAAAAAGGAAGTGAGGAGGTGGAACATCTGGACTTCATTTTGTGTTCAAAGTGGTTAAAAAACCTCCAGAAATAGGCTTAAGTTGTATTTTTTCCAAATATATTGCTCTCCGCCAATCTGCGCTGTTAGTTAAAACCGTCAGCGCGACTTGTGATGTTTCCACACACCCCACTCTCTCTCCACGCTGTGTGGGTGTGCGTTTTTGCGCGTGTGCGCAGTCTATTGTGTGTGCGCCTCCTTGAAGCTCCTCAGCCCCGTGGAGCTGTTGTTTCCACAGAGCTGCGGGACAATCAGTCGGGCGGCTGGATTTAGGGAAGACAAAAGAGAAAGTGAGAATTCTGCTTTTTTTCCCAACCCGTCTCTTTATGGGTTTCGCATCTGTTTGGTTCGCATCAGTTCCCGTTTTTAGAGGATTCATCGCGCTCTCGCCGGCGTGGATCTAGTTTCCACAGACTAGACAAGACATGCAGTCTAGTCATCCGGTAAAGTTTTGATTGACATCGCTGGTTCTCCACCTCAGAGCGGAGAACTTTTAACGCTGAGTTTTCAGTTTTTTGGGGACATTTGGACGCGGTTTCTCTATCGCTTCACGCTCTCTTTCTCATGGGGTAAGTTGTGCGCCCTTCTCCTTATATATATAGCCTATATATATACATTATAAAAGCATGTGCTGTAGCCTCAAACAACAAGGTTAATTTGCATCTGGATGAGTCAAACGCGTGTAATTATCAACTGAATCTCTACAGTCACATTGAATTCTGGAAATGTTTCGCCTTCACATGACAGCATCGCCCCCATTCAACACTTCCAGTTCCAGTCCCCGCTGCAGCCACTATGCGGGTACCGTCATGTGACAGATGTGCTTACAAAACTTTGTGAGTCTTTACAAAAAAAAAAAAAAAAAAAAAAAACACTTTATAGTTTTAAATAGACCTACATCTGTCCAGCAGAGCCTGTTGCATCATTTCCAGACAGTAAAAGCTGTATTGGTGGGGGGACATGCATGTTCCCAGCTCCTTGGAGCCTGCTGTGCTCCCCCTCATCCCCACCCCCACCTTCTGACCCCATCCGATGCTGTTGAGGCTTGTTCATCCGTCACTCTAAAGAAAGCATTGCATTGAAAGGATGTATTAATAAGACAAAAGCCCCCATTATCCCTGTGTACAGGAGTTAATCGCTTGGGGTTTGGAAATGGGCTTCTCTGAGAGCTCCAGTTTAGAGATTCTGCAAGCAGTAAATTAACAGAACCCCATGTCAGCAGAAATTAACATTGCACAATTTCATAATGCATAGAATGTTAACATGCAGTTGGGTCATTTTGGTCTTGTCCAAAGGCTCTGGATTCTGGGCAAAACTGTCTGATTTTTTTTTTTTCTTAAAAAGTTTGTTTTGGTGAGGAAGGAAACATAGGTGTCAGTGATCCAGAAATTGTCTTGGGAGAATCCTCAAGTCATGGAGTGATAAGATGATAAGAAAGAGGAACTGATGTTTATTGTCCTGATAAAAAGCCTGCATCCTCTTGCCTGTACTCTGTGCTTTGCCTGGTTCATTCTGCACAGTGTGAGGCTCATTATAAGGCTGTCTGAAACTGACTAGGATCTTGAAGGCTTTATTTAAACTCAAAGCTGCAGTTGTGTGGGAAAAATTAAACAAGTCATGCACACAGGGATGCTAAAAATCTTGTTTAGTTCAAGCCAGCATCTAGGTGTGATAAAATCAGGAGTGAGGGGTGAAGAGGAAGAACCATCAGCATAGTTTGGATAAGACTATCCAGTGTCGAAGTGGCTGTCAACAGACTGAGTGATGCTGCAGTTGTGCAAAAGGCTGCTGTCTTTGTTTGGGGCATGCATGACCACCTATGGTCATGACCGTTTTGAGGCAGAGGGCAGATGGATGCAGCGACATGTCAGTCAGTTTTGGGTTTGTGTGATCATATGGCTCACTGGGCCTGAAACAAACAGCCATCACATTCCCAGACCTGACTGCTGCTTGGCTTTTCAACACTTGCCATACAGCATCGCTAAAGGGTACTATGAAAAGCTTCACTAGTTTGACCCCAACTTCTCACCTCAAGGCAGCCTGTCAAAGAGACAAAGCAATCTTACCTGGCTCAACAGAGCTGAGTTGACTCTTGTCAGCAGGCCATTACCTCAGAGTTCAGGATCTGTGTGCTCTTGGCCCAGCTCGATATACTCATTGCCTCTGTATTCCCTTAAAAGATGACTGCAGTAATTTGAGCCCTCTCTGTGGGGACGGCTATGGGGTAGCGTGAGAAATGAAGACAAGTAGATGACCTGAATCAATAAATAGATGTATAAGTGCATGCATGGATAAATAAATTAATAGAATTTGAGTGGTGGGAACTAGAATTGTGGGATTTTTTTATTGGGCCAGCTCACAAGGGGATTGAAGGCGGGATGGATTTTGGATGGGTGGCGTCCATCACTGATGAGTGCTCACGTTTCAGCCAAGGCCTGGGAGAGGTCCGTTTATAGGAAGCAGCAAGAAGGCTTTTCCTCTGGGAGTTTTTTTTTTTTTCTTTGTTATTTTCTCCCCCCATTTCACTGAGTCGGATCAAATGAGCCGCATCTCCAAAAGATGGCTGCATGGAGCCACCTGCTAGCTCTGGCCTGTTTTTTATCTGGGTAACCATTAATAGGTCCTATTAATAAGTTGCAAGAGGTTCCTCCACTCAGACAGAGCAGAAACCACAGAATGTAGCAGCCAAAATGTAAACGCTAACAGATTTTTTTTGGGGGGGGTTGCACAGTGATATGAAGAATGATCTTAGACAGCCACCCGGGTTCTGACTGCTAAGAGTTCTTGCTGGTTCTCCCTTTAACAGAAAAACAGTTTCCTTGGGTGTGGCTGCTGGAGCAAAATAAACGCCTTCTGTTCGCAAGCTGCTGAAGTGCAAGTCACAACACACAGCTGACAGCATGTAGCCTTCTGACTCACAGCCTGGAGCTGGGAGTGTTTCCAATTGGAGGAATAAATATGGGGCTCTTTACTTTTGTTCCCATTTTATAAACACAGCTAAGAGAAGGAGGCGCTTACTCTTCCTTGGCAGGTAGAAGTATACATATGAACATTCACTGACCTTATCTTTCTTCTCTTTATTAAAACAACCCTTCTTAAATTTAAAATGAAGCTCTGATTATTTTATAAATATTTACATTCACTAATATTTGGAGGAGGGGGAAAAATGCGTTTGGTGATTTTATTCCAGTGAAAAAACTTTTTGGCGTAAACGTGTGCTGCTACATTCCTCTTCCTCTTAAAGTACTTGGATTAGCCACAGGACCCCCCATGACCAGGAACTGATGCTTGTAGCAGCATGTCAGGATTTCCTAATGCTTTCCAACATGAGGATAACGCGTCCCTCCTGTTCAGGATCGGATCAAACCTCAATCGCATAAAGCTGCAAGATGAGAGACGTGACGAAAATACTTTGATCTGAGGTCTAATTTTCTGCGTAGGAAATTGCTCATTGTTAGATGTAGACAAGCATATTGTCCCACCTCCAGGGACAGTGACAAGGAGACTGAATGCAGGGTTTCTGGTTTGCTCTGTGGCTTCAATGGGATCAGCAGCACTTTGCAATCTCTGTTTAGGCTGAGCTATGATTTATGACCTGGATGGGGAAAAAACTCGTCTGCTCTGGCTGTAGCCTTAATCGGTGTGGTCATGTCGTGGTTTCTTGATTTCTGGTCATTCTTAGGGCTCACTCTTGAGTGATTCTTTAAAAGGCAGGTACGCATGAAGATGCTGCTGCTTTCTGCAGACCTCCTTGTTTCTCCATGGGAAGTCTTTGTTATGCAGCTTGTTTGTACAGCTGGAGAACTCAACAGGATCACTTCAAAACCCCACCTCCAGAGACCCCAGGATATTTTGGAGAAAGTCTTGGATGTTGATTATCCCTGTGCTGCCAGTCAGAGTCTGCTGAAGCTATTCCTTTTATTTGTCTGTCATTCCCATGAGCTTCTCTGTTCATTAGATTTTCTAATGAATAACAGACCTTAAAAATACAGTCCAACCATGCATCATTTGGTAGCAGAAAGTGCATCTGCTTTTTGAAATTAGTAGACAGAAGAGCTTCACTAAAAGCCACCCACAAGAAGGGTCACGGCAGAGGTTAGACAGTTCTCTTAGAACAGACAGTTTCAGTAGAAGTGGAGGCATTTTGTGAAACTGACAAACGCGCAAAGGCATCCACTTTAGATGAGCCTTGCCAGACAGTTGAAGTTGGGGAATTGGCTTGTTCTTTTGATTAATGCTACACCACTGCGCTGGTCATCATCAGCTTGTCTGCCATACGCAGCCGGTCCAAAGTCTAAGAGACTCCGCACAGGATTTAATTTTGGGCCCATATTCCATCATCTTTGTCCTCCTTTTTTCTAATGTCAATACTTAATTTTTTTTGTTGTTTTTTTTCTTTTGCATTTTTGCCCTTTCAAATCTAATAAATGGTGTCCAATAAAGGCTATTACTCATTAGCAGAGGTAAAGTTTACATGAAATGTTTGCGCAGCTTTGACATAAAGCAGCTGGAGAGATGAACTGATCTTTAAATAATGACTGTTAACAGTTCATCAGAGGTTTTCCTTTGTATGCGAACTGGGGTTTTTGCTGCATTCGTGCAGAAGGTTTTCAGTGCAGCCTTTTTTAGTTCGGTGCAAAGGTGTAACCAACGGATACAACTTAAAACCTATACAGATGCAGAATGTTTTGTGCATGGGACTAAAGTGCACAAATCCATCCCCAGCAATCGGTAAAGTTTCTCATTCAGCTACATTGGCTTTGGAGACAAATAGCATCATAGAACCAAAGCTATCAGCGATCAGGTATGAGGTTCACCGTTCACTGAACTTAATTACTGACTTAAAACAACAACAAAAACCTCAACATCATACTGATATGGAGGAAAATCATCTTAAGCAGACGTGTGAGTGCAACTGTATTTTGTTAAAAAAGGGGTCTGTAGTTGGCAGTTGTAGCTAAATCTTGATTAGTTCTCTACTGTGGTCATTTTAAGATGTGAAATGTGATAATGTAAAAAGTGTAAACATTCCTCATTGGCTCTTGCATAGAGCTAACAAATGTGTGCATCGTTCTCCTAGACTGAAAAGTACTGAAACCTATCCGAACCTTGGCAATAATACCAAGGTACAGGGGGGATCCCAGGCAGCTTTACATGTTGCTTCTGTATTCGTGTATTCTGATTTTCACATGACTCTAGATAAAAAGCTCTTAAAAGCAAACTAACAAAAGCAGATCCCTAAAATGGATAGCAACTGGAGAGTATATGGGCAATGTTCCCTTTTCAGGGAACTGTGTTTTTTTTTCTCCCCTCCATTAAAACAGGGCTTTGTTTAATGGATCTTCTTTTCCAAAGGAGTCTTTTAAGCATTTCCTATAAAGACCAATTAAAAGGAAAGATCAGATGCTCTGTCAAGTCAGATATAGATTAGTGGCCATTAGGTAAATGCAGTTGGGAATGCATTTTGATTTGTTATATTAGATTTTGTAGATGTAATTTTTCACCTGAATAGGCTCCAATATTAATTATGTTTTTCTATTCCTCTTTTGTTTACAAAATACACACTCTG